AAGATCCGCAACAACAAAGGCGCATTCGCCGTTTCACATCTAGATGTGTATAAGAGACAGGTTTAAACTCGAAAAAAAAAAAAAAATAAAAAAAAAAAAAGTGATGTTTTTTTTGTCGATTTGAACTTGGACGATGAGGATGTTGCTTTTCAGCTGGTTTTCTTGCCTTTACTCACTCCGACTTGACAAACCCGCCTACGGAGTGATGTTTTTGCCCATTCTGAAGTGCACCTGTGACTTCAACGTACTTGCCCCCTTTTTTTTATAATACTCCCTGGAAATTTTCCAAGAAGTACGCGGGGGCCTATTTTGACCAAATGGGACGAGTTTCTAGGTCAAGACGATAAGAGATCCTTGAAGCCTCAGCGTTAGAGGCAAGGTCGGTTTGGTTGGCGGAGTGAAAATTGTATGTTGTCTTCTTTCCATCAGTTTTTTTTTTCCCTTTTCGTTTTTCATTTTCTTCAGTGAACAAGTCTCGAGCATTGAGAAATGAGAATCGAACTTGGAAGTTGGTACCAACGAATTTAGGAAGTTTTTTTTTTTGCTTTCTCGAAGTTAGTGGATTCCTTTTGGAGGATTTCAACCATGGTCTATGCGGTGTGAGTTTTTCTTCGGCTTCTTCGGAGAGGCATCCGTCATGGGCTTCAGTATTTTATTGGCTTACGATTTCTGGGCCAGAAGAGAGGTCTCAAACCTGTTACCTGATGACCTGGTTTCCCATCTAGGATGGTTTGTCTTAGGATTTAGACTTGGTACTGGACAATCCCTAAAAGTGTATGGAGTGGGGCATTACTTCTAGTCATTTCCATTCACCGGTTTGAGAAACATGTCTTTTTGTTGATGTATCTAAGATCTACACAGGATGTAAGTGGTCCTTTTACGATCTTTCCTAACGACTTTCAAAGACCCCTGAGGAGTCGTGGTGGGCAGCCAGGTGAAACCGGTCGGGTCAACGTCTCCAGGCGGCTGCGGTCGCCATATCCACGCTTTATGTACTATTTTTCGCAAAGTCGCGTGCCGGATGTATTCGCTTTTACATGTGTTCTCACTTCATGATCTTGGCTCGCTCCTTCT